AAATAGACCCTAGAGGAGCCTCTCTCTCATATATATATATGTGTGTATATATATATATACACATACATGAAGATGACACTGGTGGTGGAGGTGATGAGATAAACCGCGGTTCGAGCATCATCAGCATCAGCTTGAAATCTGTGTTGACTCGCGTCTTGCAGCTTGAAACTGGTACTGATGGCAGTTCGACCTTGTAATTGGACGGGTTCAGCGGACTACTACTACTACTACTACTACTACTACTAATCTCCTACTTAAGGCGTAGTACGACTGGTGCTACTACCACTCCGACTAAAAGTGCCAGCAGTGCCAGTAGTACTTTCAGTACGGGTGGTGGAGAAGCAGCAGCAGCAACAGCAGCAGCAGCAGCAGCAGCTATTGCTGCAGTCGTTCCTGTCGTAGCGCTGCTCTGACACGAGCTAAATCACAAGCTTTCTTAATTCGTTTTTTCTCTGCACTTTGCTTTGGAGGCTTTCATCTTCGAGCCTTCTGAGCAGCTCTACATCTATCCGCCTAATGAAAGTGGGTGGATCCCTGGCGGTTTGTGATTTGTGTGCGCGGCTGTCGCGTGTACATGTTGCTACTAAACCCTGACTCTACCTAATCTTGGCTTGTGCTGGGATTTGAACAGAGCGTCGGCTCTCGAAGGATTCTTGACGCATCTTCAGAGATTGGCGGCGTCCACGAAAGCTGTGCGCTCTCCACTGGTACTGTAAATTCTTGCTTTGTCGGCTTGTCGGTATTGGTTAGGTTAGAATGTGCGAGCAGTTTCACAGCCAAACTAGTATCAGAGGCTGATGACCAATCCCAAGATGAGAGGCGGATTTCCGACCTCCTTCCTGTCTTAGCACAAGGCTTGAACTTCTGAGGAGGCCCCACAAAAAGTTTGTCAGCATGGGTTTCCTCGCTTCCCAGAGGAGGTTAGGTGTTTTGTTCGATGTACTGGGCCTGGTGTAGGCTCGAAGTTAAAGCCGATGAAGAGTCTGTGCTTGCTTCGCTGCAAGTCCAGGAATGCTGCCGGTCACATCTGTCCGCTCCAGCTACCCTTTCACATCCGCCTGGGGGTGGAGTGCAATGCAGGCGAGGGTTGCCACGACAGGGCCAAGAGTGATTGTGGGCCCGGGGCTTCGATTCAGGGCCGGGAGAGTTTCGGACTTCTTCCTGCGCGATGAACCCAAATGTTGATGGTGATGGTCATAGTGATTGTGGCAAACACACGCAAACCCACCGTCGTGTTATGAAATGACGAAATGGTTAAACTGTTAAGTTAAACTGTGTAATTCCTGTCACATTTCTATGTTATTCTGCTGCTACTCTTGCCCGCATTATGTACATGTGTAGTTACATTTGCAAGCCATGTGTCAAACATAGGTGCGCATAGTTACATGCACAACCAGACAGTTGCAGGGGAGCCTGCTTCTCGTGGGGAACGAGGCTTCTAGTTCCAAGAGCTCGGGACACCCATGATCTTTGCATCCTGGAAGCGGGTTTAGAGCGTCGTACGGTCCGGTTTCGATAACAACCTCGGGCACACGTGCTATTACCAACCCTGCAGGCTTCAGGCCATATGGCATTGGTTCTAGACGAAGGTTAGGCAGAGGTGGGCAGGGCAGCTGCCTAAGTGGGCCTTCGCATGAATATGAATTACCGGGTCGGTCTGTGGAAACATATCGGTCAAGATGTTGTTGATACGCGTGCAAAAGCATCTTCGTAAGCTTCCTTCAGACTCTTCCATCAGGCCTGGCCAAGCTGCGCAAGCTGCGCGCATCACGTGGATGTTGCAGTCGACGGCGGCGGTAAGTAGGTAAGTAGGGTAGAACAACACTGGCTTAGTTGACTGCACGACTCAGCCCAGAGCCCGAAACTCCCTGAAGAGATTCACGTAAATCCTGAAAGTTCTTCAGGCTCTAAGCATCTCTAAGCGGTTGACAGGCTCGGTCCTTTAGAAGTGCTTTGTGTCTCCTCGACTTCTGCCTGGAGATGCGAATTGGTGCGCAGCTTGCACCTGGAAGTTCTGAGACCCGGTGCCTTTTCGAGAGCGGTTTGAGTCCAGTCTTTCCCCCAGTAGGCCGTAGGCCAGTAGGCTGAAGAAAGGCAGGTGTGCAATGCTGAGTGCCCAGCATGCCAACCCCGAGCTAAGCAGATGAAAGAGTATTTGATTGCTTCGTGGGGCTCCTGCCGTGTGCTAGACTGCCATGCCTGAGCATGCAGGCAATGAATGTAGTGTTTTGCTCCCGATCTGGCCTGCATGTGCAGCTTATGCAGGCCAGGTGGAGTGCTTCTCGAAGCTGTGGCTGAGCAGATGTGGTTTTAGTAGCCATTTCGCTCGTGACTTAACGAGATAAGCTCTTCTTGTTTGAGGTGGCAGCTTGTGAAGCTAGTGAGCTAGTGAGCTAATGAAGTCTGAAAGAGTATGGAGTATGGAGCTCCTTAGTCTCTATAGAGGAAAGGAAGCACACGACTTGGTACGGCCACCTGTGGGCATGCACGTCTACTTTTCCCACCCCTTTTTTGAGGCTGGAAGCAGCTGTAACAGGCTTTGCATGGCCTTGGCTATTTATGTAACTCCCAACATCTCAGGTTCCTAGTTTTCCAGAAAACACATCTCATCAGCTCAAGTTCGTAATCAGCATGCACATCTTCACGGAGCCGGGGGGCTGGGGTCATGTGATAGCGAGCGGCGACAGTCTTTCAGCCTTGTATTTGGGTTGATGAAGTATAGCCAGACACTCCAGCACCTGCTCGACTTGAAACAACATCTGCTTTGGCCGCTGCATGGAACGGTGATCTGGTTGCCTGGAGACATCTGGAGCCCTTGTACAGGCTGCTTGGCTTTGTCTGTCGAACTTGCGACATCCTAAACATGTGGGCCCTTTGAGAATATTGCGCAGCAAGAATCTAAGATGTAGTGAGGTGGGGGTACTCCGAAAGGTCTTCCTTCCTATCACACGATCTTTAGGAGTTTTCGCAGAAAGAGGGTTTCGGTCAAGTTGACTGTCGGCAGAGGCGCGCTGACTAGCCCCTCCCAAGACTCAAATTTTCCAAGCTTGCAACGGCCTGTAGGGCTTGGCTACAGTACACTGCCCGATGTAACTGGTTGCAAGCCTCGAGCTTTTTATGTTCCTGGCATCGCTTTTTCAAATTCTGATTCAAGGGCTCAAACTGTGTAGCATCCCACACTTGATTCGCCGCACAGACACGACTGCCTTCAGATCCTTTAACCTGGCCCATTTCCACGGTGGATTTATGAAATGTATGCAGTTTGTGTTGAGGTTCAAGTCTGGCGCAAGTGGTCCTCCACCGCAGTAACTTAAATCCATCACCCCACCACATCGATCGAAAGCTGAAAGACACCACACATCATTGCTTCTCAGGTCTTTCAGGTCTTGGTGCTGCCGGGGCTAGCGAGCAAAAGCAATGGGTAGCTGGTTACGGCGTGGAAAGCGGGTTCGGTTTCTTATTTCTGACCTCCTTTATATTTTGCAGGAGCACCACACCGCTCCCATAGAGAAAGCGCATGTTCGTGCAGTTTGTTGCAGGGTTCTGTCTGGGCGGGCTCGATACACAGGACGTCAATACCCCTGTGACGACTGGAAGTCTAATCGGAGACCGCAAAGCAAGACAAGGATGGGACAGGAATTGCCAAAACCATTGGACAGACCACAACGCAGCAGAGATGTTCGTTGCAACGAACAAGACATGCTCATCGCTTCCCCCTTTGCAGTAGTTAGTGCTCAGAATTTTTTGTACTCACAGCTAACAAAGCTAGCGCAATCATCACTACAGCCGTGATCACGGCAATCAAGCCATCCGCCGCGGCAGCGCTGCCTGCGAAGCGAGATCACTTCGATGCACCTCATCATGCATTGACGGCAGCAACCCAGCTTTAAAGAACTCCTGAGCCCAAAGCTGCAAAGCCGAGAAGCCGCCGAACCCACTGCTTGCGAATATCTTCATGTCGTACAAACAAGTTGCATCACCCGACCCAGCATGGACGTGTGGTATCATGTGGTCATCTTAATTTCAAAGCCATTGCTCCACAATGTTCCTGCTTGCCGAGGACTTTAACCAAACCCATGATCGAGGAGGACACATCACAACTGACACTCAAGATGCGTGTGGTTTCGCCGGAGGCAGGCTGGAGGTCAGATTTTCCGGCAAGAAACTGTTTGTTATACTAGGTTGGCGAAAATTATTTAAGGATGCCAGACTTCTGGCAAATGCCACCTCTTGCAATTGCAAGCGCCTGTTAACCAGCGAATAAATCTGTCACAGCCGTATACCTCGCCACAATAAACTTTGGGGAAGACGTCGTCGCCTCATCGCATTTGATCGAAGATCATCGTAGCGGGCCTGTACGCAGACCATCTCGATGCCTCGTGACTGTTGGGCACAGCCCAGCCCTTCAGGACGTCGATGTCATTGATACCTGCGCACAGCGCCTGACCGTGCCCGTTGAGGCGATCTGGATGGCGACCGGGCTTCATATGACCCTGCCCAAACAGCACAGTTTTGAGATGGTTGGACTCCTTGCTTGAAGATGTAGCAAGTCGTAAGTAAAACATCCCACCAGCTCCATACTTTCCTATGGGCTACTTGAACCTAGTGCGTTTTCCCAGGTGTGCCTTACCGTCTTTATCGACTCCTTGGGTGGGTCCATCTCGGCGCCGGTGATGCCGCATCTTTCAGCGCAAGTGGTCATGGGGCCGGGTTGCAGGCAAATAATGTTGAGCCTTGAACGAGCGAGTCGAAAGTTGTGCAGGGACTGTGGAGAGCGCTAGCTGGCATTGTTATTCTGCATGCGGCTCTTCCTGGGTTTCCATTCCGGCGGTGTGGATCAGGTTCTATGCCAAGGAGTTCGACGCAAGCAGCACACAAGTAGGCTCGATGGGGCCTGGATGAATCATTTCACTTGTAGTGCTAAGTACTTGTCAACATCCCCCTGCATCAGCCTCTAAGACTCGACGGAGTCGCAAGGTTCCAGAGACTTAAATGCTGCTGGGTATGGTGACGATGACGAAAACGATGATGTGTGGTGATAACGGTAATGATACCGACGGTCCTAGCCATGATGGTAAAACTGATGAGCATGATGATGCCGATGATGATGACGGAGGTGATCCGGCTTTCATTTGCAGGGACGCAGTGGCGATCTACAAAAGGTTGCTGTCAGAGACCTTTTTTCCCCAGACCTTTCTTCGCCCACCAACCTCAACAAAGCTGCCCCAGCCTTCAAAGCCAGCGGCCCCACCAGCATTTTCGCTTTCTCTCGTAAGAATTGCTTCGCTGCCCAGCTTCACAGATTAAGTTCAGGGTGTGTTGTTGGGGCTGCTAGTGCCTTAGAAACAGGGTTTTGCTGAGTGCAGCAAAAGGCTCCTTCGGGATGACGGTGGGTGTCCATTTGGAATGTCATGTCCTTGTGGGATACTAGCTTGTCAAAAGTTTCCTTAACGTAAAGACGCAAGTAGTAAGAAAATTCGCATCATTTGGCACACCTCGAAGTGCCGACCAGCAAGCGCAAACTCCGAGACGGATAGGCCTCTCAGCGCAATGCATGGGTGAGACAAGTCCACGATTTGGTTTACTGTATCCAGATGCAAAAAGGGCTCGCTAGGATGATAATTTGAAGTTCAGGATGTTTTGGCGGCTTGTAGGCTTAGTTTATAGGTTCTACAAGGGCTTACATTGTGCCAAGGGATTCTCGGCATTGCGTGTCGATTACGGGCGGCACCTCGACGGAAGTCCTAATCCTTCGTGTTTCTGACGAGCAGCTCCTGTTCTTCGAAGCCTTTGTGTTTTGTGGCTTGGGGCAGATGCGCCTTCCGAAAATGGAATCTGAGACGAAGAATTGAAGCCGCCCGCCTGAAGGCTGGCTCTTCAGCACCTACTCGCTGGCACAGGTCGCATAAGCGGGTGAGGTTAAAAGACCATGAGCTGCCCCTCCACATATGCAAAAACTTTAAAGTTTGCTACACCTGTGGCCTTGTGCACACGCATACTGCACTTTCTGCCCGCAGAGCCTGTACTTAGCACTCCCATGCTGCTGACGGGTGTACCAGGCTGTACCTTACAAGCCCATGAGTATAGGTGGAAGTGTGCATGTTCCGATGCATTGGAGGTCATTGCCCTGCCTCTTCTCGGCCGCCTCTCAGACACGACTGGCCGGCGACCCGTGCGCCTCGATGGGGTCTAAAGTGGAGATGCCGCCGCTTTTGTGGACGCCCTTTCGATACGGTCTACACCCAGTTCAGCGAGTTTGCAGGCATTGTTGCCACCCGTATAATCGCCCTGCACGCGATTCGCAGGTAATTGAAGCAGGTATTGTAGGGGTTGGAAATTTGCCCGAATCGAAAGCGACTTAAAGCAGCACAGCTCGAGTTGCTTTGGATTCGGGTTCAGCAAGTGGTCCCAGAAGCTGCCTAAACGCACACCCCTCTGAGGCTTGTACTGTCACTCTTTGGCGCGGCGACCGGCGCTTTTGTGCAAGGCCACGAATCAACGGGCCACTGTCTGTGCATTTGGGAGTGTAGTTTCCTCGGACACCGAGAAGCCTGGCCACCCCAAACAAGGCTTCTGGTAGCAGTGTGCCCATGAGAACAGCAGCCAAAGTGCTGCAAACTCCATTTGGAAATCACGTGGTGACACTTGCCCAGTGGGATTGGACGCCCTGCTGTTGTTACGCAGCCGCGGTGTTCTTTTCTCCCATGTCCTTGTACCACCATGTCCCAGCGGCAAACTGTGCCTTGCACTCCGTGCATTCCCTCCCCAAGGCTAGTTCGAGAACTTGAGGACGCTAAGCCTCAGAACCTCAAGCCGACAAAGGCGGAACTCGCAACCCTCCTGGCACGTAATCCCCATCCAATCCGAAACAGCAGTGTTCTTCGTGCAGAGTGGTGGAGCAGATGACCCCCCATGAATGCATCCCAGACAAGCCCAAACTTTCCTGCTCGAAGGGGCACCATGGAAGCCTGAAAGGCTGAACTGAGCATGACTCGACTCAGCGGTTGATGACAGGTCTGGCGCCTACTCTGGACGTGCTCTTCCTTGGTCGCGTCATCAGTGGCTTCTGTGGCGCAGTAGGCCAGGTGTGTAGATGTCTATAGTATCTGATTCTGCTCCTATCGATGGTGGTGATGATGATGACGACTATGATAGCGGCATGTGTCGACAATGGTGGTGATGGGGGTTCCGGAAGCGCTGGTCTTGTTGATGACGATACTGGTGATGGTGTCGACAGACCGACGAACCATGGTTCTGATAGTTAAGTAAAGATGATGACCCTCTTCTTGTGATGGTGGTGGTGACGCTGCTGCCTATGGTTCTGATTATGAGCAAGACATCACCATGAGAATGATGGCGATGATTCAGCGACGAGGCTGAGCCCGTTCGATATGGCGCGGCTGGTGGTGATGAAGAAGAAGACATGGGAGGAAGTTGCAGATGGTAGCTGTATGCAATGGTCATCGTCAGCTGAAGGCACTTCTTCTGGTCATCTCGTTGGTCGAGATGGTGTTTATGGTGGGACTGACTTCTACTCTGCCTCCTGATGGCTTTGTCTGGCTTTGGTCGTACCAGCTTCCACGCAAATGCATGACAGCCCGAAGCGTCAAGTACATTATGAACAATGAACGGAAATCCACGGCAAGACATGCACACCATTCTTTCAACCGGAGCTTCTCTTTGGTTGTTGTATCACGTTCTGTCTTCGTCGATCGACCTTCAATTCAAAGATGGTCGTTGTTATTACAAATGTTATGAATACGCCCTTGGACTCTTGAAGCGTGCGGACAGCGCAGCTGGAAGATTAGACGACAGCTACAGCTACAGGCTCAGGGGCCAGGCGTCAGTTTGCAACGTTCTCCGTGTCACTGGCCCTTGGGCCTTGTGACGCAGGCAGCACTGCCAATGTCTACATTTGCGATGTCGCCAGTGAAGACTGCCGACCAGAGCCTGACCCCAAGTTACCGAAAGTGGCTGTGGACATGCAAACAAGCAAAGCATGATTGCAGAGGGAATGTACTCAAGAGTAGCATCAAGGTTGTGCTGCTCGTGATGAAAATGCCAATGGATCATGGCGATGGCGAGGGTGGTGCTGGTAGTGCTCTTGATGACCACATTGATCAATCCATACTAATATCGTGCTGCTGACGACAGGTTCGCAGGATAATGTATTTCAAGTCTTGAAAGCCATCATGTTATTGCTGGCTTGATCCTCATGATTCTCGTTGATTCAATAATCACTGGAAAAAACATGGGTGCCAGTAGTAGGAAAAGTAGGAGTGCTCATCGTTGTTGTCCTTTTTGCAGGAATGTAGCTGTTGCGGCAACTTCTCAGTAGTAGCAGCAAATTCAAGAGAGAGTAGTATCAGGGCAGTGTCTAGCTAAACTTCATGCAGTTTCAAGATTGTTGGCGGGAGCAAAGCTTTCCAACTCGCGCATTGTTATTTCGGTCCATGTGCTGTCGCACACCCCTTGTTATAGGCTTCGAACGTGAGCATATCTGCACTTGAATGGAACGTGCTGCCGCCTTTATATTGTGGTGTACATGTCGATGCCAGTCTGGTGCCAGGTGCACAGCAAACAGCAAAAACTGAAAATCAACGTTGCTCGGGTTCCGGTCCCATCACTTCCTTCGGTTTACTTCTGGACTCACTGGGCCCAAGACGTGTCTGGTTGGGCCTGTGCTTGAGGTACCTGGGCTACCTGATGAGTAGCAACGGCTTAGCCTTCGCATTTGGCCCAGGCTGGGAGCACGGCCTTTTCGGAAACTGAACCTGTAGTGCAGATGCTGCAGTTTATGAGTGGGGGTGCGACACCCTAGATCAGGGGTCCGGGCAGCGCTTCATCTAGACTCCAGACGTCTTCGAGATTTCGTTTTGTTCGATCCTGCAATTGATTTCGTCCGTGCTCTGGGTTTTTGCTTGTTGCGAACTCGAAATTCCCGGCCTCACTGCAGGTCAGAGACGTCGTTTGCGGCAAGGGTTGTGACATAGACATACAGTACTGTTCGCTTGGTACATGCCGGTCACTTCAACAGCATTTGCACGAGAGCCAGTCCCAAGCAGGCCTCCACAAGCGTTGCTTTAATCAAATCGCTAGCCTCACTGGCATTGAAGAGCAACTGCCCTCTAGTTTGATCCAGGAAGGAGGAAGCAGCATGGGTGCAAGTAGACCTACTCGCGCGGAACGAGCACAAGATGGTTTCCATGACCTCCAACCATCTAACTCACAGCTTCTGTGTCTTGCTGATGCTTCTAAAGCAAGAACAACAACAGCAGCAACAACTACAACTAC